TATATATATATAAGAGCCTTGTAAAAGTGAAAAGCTAAGAAGCCATTTACAACCATTACATCCATTATTTTGAATCAGGAGCAATGAGCATCTCAACAAACTCAAAGGGATCTCGAACTCGCGATCTCCCAGCTAGCAGTCTGCACACAACCATTCGGTCAGGAGCAGCTGTGTGATTAAGACACACTTATACAGGACACGGAGCCACTCCTCTTTCGATCACGGAGCCCGCATGCTCGAGTGATGGAGGTTGCACTCATCTTGTGGAAGTGTTAATAATCTAAACTGAACACTTAACCATTGAACAGCTCAGAAGAAGGATAGTTACACAAAACGACTAAACCGTCCGTCTGAGAGGTAGTTATGTGCATGTGGTTGTGTGTATGTCGTTATGTGGATTCTGTGAACGAAGGAAGAGTGCCGCTATATGAGTGCGAATTAGCCATAAGGCTGACCAGCCGTCCGTGACGGGGAGGTCCCGAGTACGAGATTCCCTGGAGTTTCGTGAAATACTCACTGTTGTTCCCAATACGGCTGAAACGGTCCGCCTCTCAATTTAAAGTTCTCTACAAGTTGGAATAATCCATTTATTTTGAATAGGCCACCGATCAGTGGTTCCATGACTAAGTTAAATTAACGGATTACGTATGGACTGATGCAGAAGTAAGTTATTATCGGACTGGATTAGGTTTCTTTTCAAAAATCGTATAGAATACACAAGACATTTGGAATGATCCTAGCTGACTGAATTGCCAGATTGAACCTTTATATGTGACCACGGACACCGTAGACAGAAATGATAGATACTGCTCACTTCAAGGAGCCGACCATCGTCCGTGGCAAGTAGCACGACCGTGAATTGTTCGGACACAGCCGTCACGGCTAAATCAACAACATTTTCATGTATGTGCAAGAATGCGGGCGCTTCCAGTGCGTCATCTCTGTCTGAACCCATGATGAGCCGATTGCGCGGTCGATCTTTCGGACAATAATATTTTTCTGCTTTCTAAAAAGCGTGGAAAAAAGAATGACACATGCACCCAGTAAGTGAAAGTCATACCAAGAACAAGAGGTTGGGCCACTGTCCCTTTCGGGAGAACCTCTAAGTGTCTAAGACGTCGAAGCAACAACCAAGATAGTGATGAGAAGTAGTGACAAGTGATCCTTGGTCAAGAATGATACTTTGATCTGGACACTCCTCAAAAATCACAGGGCACTGCTTCGGGGAGCGGAGTGCCATATATGAATGAGCCAGGGTCAACTTAGACCTGTAAGGGTGGGGAAAACGTTTATGGACAGAGCTAATATACTGAATTCGGCCACGAAACCCATATCGGATTCCTGATATTCCGCACAGGTTAGGATGGAAACTCCTCATCGGAAGCACCGTGGTTCTAATCCACCACCGATCGCTCGACTGTATAGACGGTATTCAAGCTCCCAACACGTTTTACAGTAGCTATGTGTCGGAAGGGTATCGAAGCCATCGAAAAGTGATGTGGCATGACATATCTTCAGGGCAGTAATTTTGAATCCGATGGTCCCGAATCCGGTCGCAAACACTCCAATAAAACAAGTGCCTCTGTCAATCAAGACCAACCGACGTACATCGAACTAGCAAAGTAATCTAAGATGGCATCATCTATTCTTCTGTGCACACTGGAGATGAGCTCCCGGGGGTTAGATGAAAAACAGCAACATAACTGCGGTCAAGTGGGACATTAGAATAACGCCAATACGCTAAAAATCCCCTTTCTGAAGGTGTGCAATGGCGTTCAGCAAAACTGAGTCTTTTCAGCAGCGATCTTCACAAGAAAATTTCTACAAGACGTTAGCCACGACCAAGGGCCCCCTTGCAACTGTGATTGATGAAGATTTGGCCGCTTCTACTGGTTATCAGTTGTAGAATGTAGAAATCCTGACTCGAAGTTTACGGATGCAGGGCGGTAAACATTGAATCCCCAAAAAATTAAAACCCACCAAACATCGATTTCGGCGCGAAATAGGAAGATGCATCATTTCCCCAACACACAAAAAAGTTAAACAATTCTCCTAAAGGATACTGGATAACAAAAACCTTTTAAACTATTCCAAATAAGCCTATCCTTGTCGAATCTTCTCTTGGATACTTAGTATTTGTGATACGAAATGATGGAAGCAGTTCGAAAAAGTACACCATTGTTTGAACACCCAATAGTAAGTAATGAGCCCATCACAGTTCGAAATTCATACACGGAAGCTTCCGTTAAACAGTCAAGCCACAACGATGCAAGACTTTTATGTGAAAGCACTTTGCATTTTTTTGTACCCACCAACTGAGGAATGCACCCTATTGCCTTTTGGTCGAATATAGGAAAGCCTGACTGACAACACGTTATTCTTCTGGATGTCACATGCCAGATATCTAAGCCACCAGTTCAGCGCTGAAGGTAGTGTATTCACTCACATTCGTAGAGTGCAGTATTCACTGGCCATATGTTCCGCGTTTTGACAAGTAAGAAGGTCGATGGAGGCTTTCCTCTGCTTCCTTCGGGTGGCATGGTAGCTAGGAATCGAAAGGGTGTTACAACTAAACGATTACCGTTTTATCATTCATCTTTATCAGGAGGATCGGATGACCTGCGAAGCACAATGGTGCTTAGACTTTACGCCTAGGACCGAAAGATGAGTGACACTGCCTTGATGGAAGCCCAGCTGGTGCGGGTAGCAGTCCGCACAAAACCAGTGGACTATAGACTGTACAATTATGTGTACGTAACCTGCTGTCTCGAGGGTCACTCGCTGTATGCAAGGGATCGATAAGAAGTGCGCCTCGTAGTGCTACGAATTCCCCAAAGGTTTCTCAGAGTACAGCCATGCCTAGCATGTCGGTAGACCTAGGGCAGGGAGTAGAAGGTCATTTTCGGGACCCACACATATGAATTTTACGAGTACGTTTGGGGACACAATCAAATATGTTTAGCAAAGTTACGGCAGGAGCATCCTGCCCAGTCTTGTACCAACAGGTTGCCCCCCCCCCCCGGAGTAGTTCCACCTCAGTGCTGTTTGTCGCCGGCGAGGTCAACCAAACACGATAACCGTACGTTACATTTGTGCCCCACGTAAGGTTTACACTGTAAGGTTTGCGCACACTTCCCACATTACCTACTCAGCAGCACTCAAGACGAGCCTTCGGTGTTGGAGTGCATTGTCACAGCTCCAGCTTCCAGGTAAGACTCGGCTGAACCAAGCACACTTCCCAAAAAAGCTGCGCAGCCTTGAGAACAACCCCCTTGGAAACGATATGCTCCAGGGATCGACTAATTTGCTGTTAACATTGATTGGAAGCAGGATAAACATTCCTAGCTGACACGCATAAGTATTAGTATCACCAGAGGAATGGTTTCCGACTGACGGCGTCCAGCACCAATCGGAAGAGAATCCATCCATAATGCTTAGTAAAATACGGATACAAACGCAAGTTGAATTTAGACTAACGATGAGAGACAAATTCGAAATCTGCTCACTACCTACAAAATCAGCAGTGTCTGTCAGCTCTGGGAGTGTGCAGGTCAACACGCCTAAACTGTGATAGCGGTTTTAAAATCCGATTACACTCTGATCCATACATCTTATCATCTGACACTAATTGAGTTACACTTACTGGATCAGTTAATCGGAGTTATGACGAACGATGGAGGAAGAATTTGACTGCGACTGACATTAAAAAGTGTTTCAAGCTAGGTGCCATAATCCACTACGGGTCAAAGCCTTATAGTGGGGTATCATTCAGGAAACGCAATGCATTCGAAATCCACATTCTACTTAGACTAAGTACTTTGTTGCAAACAATCACCCTTGGATTAGTAGTGCACCGATTTTTAAGTCAACTCAATCATCATCAATCATCAACTCAATCATCATCAAGCATCAACTCAATCGGTTAATTCACATTTACGGGTTGAGCGTACCCATCGGAACATGTGGCTTGAGTGACGGTGCAGACAGGTGACTTGGATGATATCAAATTTCAGCGTGGTCATCGGACCTAAAAGCCATCATCAAGCCTCAATCGGTTAATTCACATTTACGGGTTGAGCGTACCCATCGGAACATGTGGCTTGAGTGACGGTGCAGACAGGTGACTTGGATGATATCAAATTTCAGCGTGGTCATCGGACCTAAAAGCCGTATACAATCAACATCAATACTCTTGTGACGAAGCCAACAGTGGCTACACAATACAGACATATCGACTTGCTCACTATTCATGGTCCCTTAAATCGGTTGATTCGTTTGCGCCTAGACGATTGATTCATTCTTTCATTCTTGTTCATTTGTTCATGCCTGTTGGAACACGTGGTTGGACTCCGAAGAATCTAATCATAACTGCTGATGGCGTGGGTGTGCAAGATGCTATTCCCGCACAGTAGCCCGACGCCGTCAGAGATGCTACGCAGACCCATTAGCAGTGCGGCGTTATTCACCGGTGAACAATAATTGTGTTCACGAATACGATTAATAGAACCGTGTAATTCATGCGGACTGGTCAACGCGTAGGTACCAGCTGATTTAGCCAACCGGTAGTTAACTGGATCGGCTAGTTTTCTACAATAAAAAAACTTGAATTGACGCCTCTCGACCATGAAGCATGACAACAACATATATTCAAGTGAGTGGACACAACGAGCTGGTTGTGCACGTAGTACTGACGGGTCATCCCGGGTTGTTACGGATCGGACTTAGTGAGCTTGATGACCGCCTACAAGGTTGAAGACCTTAGGAAACAACCAAAATCTTACAGAGTGCTGGTAGCAAGTTCTCTTCATGGGGGAGCATTTCAGGACAACGCCTTAACCTGTACCGTAGTTACCATGTAAAAAGATTACTAGAGAGCGTAAGCAGATTCACATTTGAAGCAAACGCCTACTGCATGGGATGGTTTTGTTTTTCTTCATATTTACATAATCCCGAATAGCATAGACCCTTAAAGAAGGTAGTAATCGGTCTCTGACGTCACCGGGGGAGTCAACTGACCGGAAAAACCAAAAACCAAGAGAGGAATCAAAATTGAAGGATAACTAACAAACATAGTGAGTATGAATCGAAACACGGCCAAAGCCACCCGCATAGTATGTGCACAAAGCGAATATTCAATGAAATGCTTGCTCACCCACACATGTGCACGCACTGCGTTCGAGAAACAACCGAGGATCAATAAAATCGTCACTCACTTCTGTCTCGTCCTTCACACACTGGCCATGTACGCGTTCCCGAGTAGTTAAGAAGTGCGCGGGACCAAATACACCATCTCCCGATAGGCATTTGTCGATCACATATTTGAACTGAGCATCCACCTAAAAGTACAGAATGGAGTGGATCGCAGAATGCCCGGGACGGAGAACAGATGAGCTACATAATTATGCTAACATAATTCTAACAAGAACCCATGGTTCAGCAACCCGCCCCGTTTGTTATGTCTTTAGGTGATGTTTCGTTGAGTCGAACTTCAACCTGAAAGGAAATGCGCCAATGGCACCGCATTACTTTTGTTAAGCTCCAGAGTGATACATCTTTCCAAGATGGAATTTTTGAGCCTACCGAACAGTTTGGCTTTTTGAAACCTAATCGATGTGGCACAGTAAAACTGGTCCCCAGCTTACCCCCGAACGAGTACGAGATGACGAGTTCGCCTCCAGAACGACAGCAATATTTAGCTGCCACCAACAACATGTGCTCATCTATACCAAATCCAAGGTTAGTTTAAGTGTGGAGTGCAAATGAATATGAGATCATTTTTACCACTTCTAAATGAAGGCTGACCATTTCCCCGCCGGTCACTACACAGGTCAAGCTGAAAATTGCTTTGCAATGCGAGGCCTTGACCTCACAAACACAACCAATTTTATTGGATTTTCTAGGACAGAAACGGCATTTTCCCTGCTTGCTCCGTTGCTCCTAGTCCTGAGTTGTTCTTCAATTTGCTCCTAACCAGAAATTCCAATCAGCTGTCTTTTATTGCGATGTGAGCCACCTGATACACAAGGAACACCGACAATGCAACACAGCTTCGCGATGGCTAAATCTTAGGGGGTGTTGTGCATTACTCAACAGGATTTCAGAATAAGACAACCGTCGCCGTTTCCCACAATGGTCCAACAGTTCAGTATTTTGTGGTACGACGACACAGGCGCATGCGAATGTTATTGGTGATTATAGTGTGACACTATGCAGTGAATCTTCTTGCAGTGGATTCATTCTCAAACGACCCAAGCTCGGGTCCACTTACAAGAAAGCTGCACACACACAGGATGCCATTTCGGAAAGAACCACCCCATGTTTCGATTTCTACCGATTTCGCTCTGCGTTGACTGTGTTGTGTAGTTTCAACACATTAGAGTGAAATGACAGACTACGAAGGTGATCAGATTGCCCCCCCCCACCTGATAGGATATGACAGGACTAACGCCATTATCATGTGGGACAAATGAGAAATCACATGATATTGACATGTTTGGAATAACTGCAACTTAATTTACAAAAAACGAGGTAGTAGGACTTGATTACCTAGGGAAAACTGTTGGTTAACATTTCGGCTAATGAGTACACAGTATCAATCAACGCGGTCAGTGCAGCGAATAGTAAGTAGATGGACACAAGCAGTGGAAACGCTCAGCTTGATTATTTCACATTTCATTCCAATTCAACCAACAGATTTTCTTTGATTCTTCAAATTAGAGTTAGGTTGGAATAACAGGTGAGTCAGTGTTGGTTTCAAAAGTAACATACGAAACTTTGCTTCTTAGGGAATAAGGCGGAACTGTTTCGACCAAGCAGCCTCAGTCGCCTCAGCCCCAAAACACCACGAATGGTGCTGTTTTTATCCTAACGTTCCTTCTTGTTCGACGTTACTGTTGCGGGTGATCAGGAGGATATAAAGAATGGTAGAGTTTCAGGGTGTTCGGTGAATCAAGAAAAAGACCAGGTGGAAAATCGAGAAAATTGACTTGCTAAAGGTGGTACAAAGACGAAACACAGGCGATGAATTTGAAAGATTCGGACTGGATGATCTATTTGAAGTGAAGCGAGAAGTTGAAACGCATCATTGCCGCTCGGTGGACGACATAACCAAGACGTGTATTTGTTGTGGAGGGGCAAACGGAATTTGCGTCGAAATGTGAAAAAATATATCAAGGGAAGAATAGCAAGAGGCAGGAAGTGGTGAATGGGTGAAACCAGTGGGATAATAAATGCTTAGCGATTGCAAGGTCAGTCAGCAGGTAACATGTAGAATACAAAGACTGAAAGCTTCAGACTTGCGGCGGCAGAAGAGCAAGTAGAACAGAATACAGTGCACCGGACTCAGTTCAGTTCACCCGTATGAGACATTGTAAGTGGACTGCAGGTGAACCGAACATATGCTGCATCAGAGGACGTTGCGTGAAATGTTTACATAGTTGCATACTTTCATCACTTTGGTATGGCAATGACTACTTTTATTCCTGGGCGAATCAACCGGAGACAAGATCCAACGACAATGGATGGCATCCAGCGTGTCGTATGGCAGCTAAATATGGCCTTTCAGGGTGGGGGATTTGCAGCACCTTCAAGTCTTAACCACCGAAGTCCTCGGATAATGGCTCATGTTGGTTGGCGTCAGAAAATCAGCAGCGAGATTACGGGAAAATGGGTTTTCAGTTTTATGGTAGATTTGTTCTGAGTCCACACACTAACACCTAAACGATACACCGAGGAAGCTAATTCCAAGATCGAAAGACCAGATCGACAAACGCAGTGTTGTTCACCGAACCAATGGCACGGATTGTCATGAATAATACTACGCTGGATAAACCAGACGAAAACTATCTACACGAACGAAAGAACATGGTTCAGCGATTGGAAGGCACGATCCAATCTCAGTGTGTAGAAAAAGGCAAGGGAGTTTCTAGAAGCATGGTACTCCGCCACAAACTCAATCAAGCGATACATGAATCGACCGAACCCACGCATCATTATAGGCAAATGGCAACTGAAAGAAAACCGACCCCACGACGGACGGATCATGTGGAGAGACAAAGTAATTATGAAACTGTTAAAACAAAGATGACTGGATACGAGTCGGATAGATAGAATCAAAGGTCGCTCTGGTATCGACTAATTAAGGAAGAAGCTAATGAACGGGACTGACCACACAACGAACCATAACCGGAGATCATCCCCCTGCCGATCAACAAGACATTACAAAAAGCAAAGCACTGCTCAACACCTACATACAGACTCTTCGCCACGACTCCATCGCCCGGATTAGTGACTGGGTGTTCACGACCGAACTGCCCAGGTCAGCGATCAGAACAACAGCCGTTTGTACGTGAGCTACCAACATGCCGTTTGGCAGTTAAGCTTCAAGCCTTCATAGTTTATCAGTCACCCGGGATAGGGATTTTGAGACCTGAACATCATGATTGTATGGTAGTGCTTGGCGTTTGTGTTGTAAACGACGAGGACCACCGTACATTATTCACAAAATGGACAGTGAGCGCGCCCTACTGGGCCCGGTTTGGTCGATCAATTTTGCCAGTTCCCAATTTACCGGGATAGAAACATGTAACGAGCTACATCCACTAGGTAAGATCGATTCAGTGCCGAAGCTTGCGTATTACCGGTGTAACGGTGGATACTAATGATGAGGCATGCGAGTAGTGTTTTCTCGTAAATCCGCTTCGCGTCTCTTGAAAAGTGAAATCTATTACGGAATTTGTGGAGTCGCTTTGTAGCATTTGCTTGCATTTGAGTGATAGTCAATGAATATCCAGGAAAGTTCAGGAAAACGCGTTCAAGGAGAAGATGGATATTCAGTTTTGTAAACAAGATACATATGAGAGTTTTGCTCCCCTGTCCGATAATCTGTAACTGTTGAATTGGCGTATCCCTAGTAAACAACTCCGCAGCGAAGGCCTTCTTCCTTTCATCTTTAGCAACATATTGTGCCCGGTGAGTAGCTTATGTGTTGTTTCACCACAGGCAGCAAGATCAACGTTGACACCAAGCGAGAAACAAGATGGAACAACTGCAGCGTAGAGTACTGGATGTTAACCGCGAACGAAGCACCCAGGTTATGGTTAAGACCATCAACACCAGCAACGGTTCTGAGACATCAGTGAGCGAAGACCCAAAGAATCCCTAGATCACCCACCCGCGCATACCATGTCTCGTAACCACCGAACAACACAGCTGTAGTGTAGCCCGGTACATGTGCTGATTGATACCCAATGACACGGTCTGGTGACGCCACGAGTAGCGCAAATTAGGGAAGGTGAATCAGGAACACCAGTGCTGCAGTACACAGAGTTAAAAGCGGTAGGTCCGTAGACAACACATCCTGAAGTATAACAGAAGTGTGACTTCTGCATGTGAAAATGCATGTTAAAATGTGGTAGAATTTTACTTCTTACCAGCAATAGGTTGAAGTTCCGAAAACCCTTTTATGGTGATGTTTGGATCTAAACTGTTACTGCCAACGTGCATCAACTGTTAGGATAGGGCTACCTGATGCAAACTGAATAAGATGGGCTAACTTTCGATAACTTGTTGCAGTTCATGTGCCCAAACGATAAGAAGAAAGGTTGCGGTGACTCGGAAATCGACCCGAACCTTCTGCCAGCTCTTCGCAGGATATCGCAAGTGAATAAACATGGAAATCTAAAAAAAACTGATCAATCAAAGCCGAACCAAGTGGAGTCAGGCTCCAACTGTTTTCAAGTGCATTACAGTTTTTGGGAGAATCAGTTGGTGCTATACCGATAAACAGTGCTCACACGAGTGTTCCCTAAGGCATCATGTGACCACCAAGATAACATTTGAGTTTATTCCAGTTGGATTAGGATGGAATGGTGCATAGGTATCTTGGCAGCCATGGTTTTGCCAGGTGTCCTCAGTGCGACAGGTGAGCAAACATCCTCTAAGGGTGTAAGGTAGCATAGAAGGAAATGAGGTCAAAGACGAACGAACTTGTTCAAAATGGGCTAAATGTTTGAGGACAAGAAATCCCGCAAAAAGAAGCATCTTGAGTGTAATTTACAGAACGCATAATCACGTACCTGGGCCATGGAAAATATCGAGATTACCGATCCGTTAAGCATGACAGCACCCGATCCGAAATTCGATGATCCGCGTGTGTGGTAAGGGTCATTTGATTGCGGAGCGAATGCCCTGTGGTACTGAGAGTCGACATGCTGAGCGGCAAATGCAACAACCAAGCCTTCAGTGTGATCCTCAGTCAATTGGGAGTCTTGTTGAGTCTGAAGCTTCCAGGCCAGGAGTTGTCCGACTGTACCACGGGCAGCGGTGTGTAGGGCATTGAATGTCTGAATAAAGTGAACAGTTGGCATAAATATATCAGCTTATATGGGTACTGGATGCCCATGAGATTGCATCTAGCAAAATAGAAACTGACGACTAGAAACGCCGTAAGCACCGCAATCAAGCACTCTTGTATTTTGGAGTTCGACTTTTCCAACCAGACAGATACGGCGAGTTTGTTGGCTTTGGTTGGCTACCATGGGTAAGCTGTGGCATGACAGTGGTATTCCGCAAATGTGGCGCAATAAAGATAAGAATAGAACTGATCTGTATCATTGTCACAAAGAAACCGACTAAAATAGGAATACGTAGGGTTCAGCACTGTCCCCCTTCTCCTGAGCAGCCCGAAAAAGACACGCTTGAGATAAATCGGCGGTTAAGACGCCAGTGACCCTCGGTATCACCTTCCGTCTGCCTGCCAACTACACATTCGGCGAACTTGTAACAGACGCTCATGTGTAAAATTGATGCTTACTGGTCAAGTATGGAGCCTGGGCTGAGGGTCTCTAAACTACGGCCTGCAGGCCAGATCCCAACAAGGTTCAAAAATCACCAGATAAGTATGCTCTCAGCTTTCTTAGGCACCTAGTTTTTCGACTTCCCTACAACCCACGGACTGTACCACTTCAATTGGTCGAAAAATATATCCTAGAGCTGCGTTTACTCTGAAGTGACTAAGATGAGCAGTAAATGCATTTATCGCCCCACCTCAGCTGCGCTTACGTGCTTCGGTTTGGGATTCCTCGAAATGGCAGAGTACTGCATAGATTGCCTTCTTTTGCTGATGCTATCCAAGCTCACTAAAGGTGCAGCTTTGTCTAAAAGACAGAGCTAACGGGTCGGTATCATCTTCTTGCAACAGCAACAGGGTTGCTACGTCCTAGATTTCTCCATTTGAACCGTTAGTGCGTGCGTCTGCACCGACAGTCATTTGTAAAGGGCGTTTGAAATTTAAATTGAACGATGTGACGACACTAGTGTCACAGGTTGTAGATGCACAGGTGCACCCACAAGGCGTTAACCGGGGGTGTCATAAAATCTCAAAGGTTTTCTCGTCGTACACCGAGTCACTAGTGACTCGTGACACCGTAGATCACGTATGGGGTGTCGTGCCAATAACATTGACTGGAAACGGAATGATACCCGGAGTATCTATTTAAAATGATGCGCAGTAACTCATAGCAGTGTAATACCAACGACGGAATCGACATGTTATTGACACACATCCTTACAAACGTGCGGGAGTATAGATATGGGCCCATCATGTTAGGATTCGCGTGTATGAGTATACGTAAGCTCGTTTGTGGCTTTGGCTTTGCGCCAAGACGCGGAACCGGCAACCAATCAGATCTATCTCAAGGGTTAGCACCAGCCTAGATGCAGGTGTTTACTGTGTGTGTGTGTGTGCTCGTGCGTGGATTAACGATGCAAAAAAAGCAAAACATGTGGTAAAAACAACACTCACGTCAGATTATTAACCCCGCACAATGACCATGAACAGAGACTAGCACCAAAGAAAAGTAAACTGAAAATGAGCATTCCTAGGTTGGAGTGAATCAGAGCTCCCGAAAAGGGAGAGACATCTGCTAGAGGTTTGTATGAAAACTATGCTTTACGATCAAGAAACTTATATAGAGGGTCACTTCCGTGACACTCAACATACCCCTGCGATTCATTTCGTTTCTGATGGTGTGTTGGTCCAGGCCACTGCTAGTTCATTAAAAACGTGTTTCCAGTAAACTGACGAGCGAAATCTTTAGGATTGGGAGGCTAAGTTAACCAATAGTGCATTGAATCACTTGGAAACCCTTTGGAACCAAATAATAAGTTATCGCATTTGTAAAAGTTTGGAAAATAACCAGCAGGTTTGTTGCTGGGTAAAGTCAAGCGGACTGGAAGAACTGGACCCCAGGTCTCTAGCCCATCGGTCTTAACGCTCGCTGACCTAGTTAAACAGACAAAATCCTTTAGTCGTCACCTTGAATTGACTAAGCTTGATGTTGCTGTTTGGTTCTCATTCAACCTCAAACCTCGGCCAACCTCGTGATCATCCGTTTGGCTTGACGAAACTTGTATGTCGAGAGCGACACGTTGCCCAAAAATAAATCTACCAACTGTTTTTCCAACCTTTCCGAAAACGTCAAACAACGGCGCTTTAGAGCATGGAGCTCTTAGTCACTATCCGTCTTCATATAGTGGTCAAACAAGAAAACACCTAAGAACAAGATGATTTCGCCCAAGTTATTTCCCAAAAATGGTAGTTCAGTGATGATCGGTCTTTACCTTATTTCTTGGCAGATGAACCCTGAAGTGAACACTTGACCCGTCAATAAGGCTGCCCCTCTGCCTTCCTGAAATAACTCTTGTACAACATCAGAACGAAATAAATCGGTCGATGTCAATCGGAGTCGAATTAAGCATCAAACCTCAGCGGGGAAAACACCAATACATTATATCGTTCGGATCAGTAAACCAGACTCTCTATTTAAGAAAACGAAGAATCTAAAAATCATGGGCACCCACAGACTGATAATTGTCTAGGTTTTGAAGAGGAATAGGAGGAATCTTACAATTTCGCCACGAAGCGGTCCAGAAATAAAAAAAATTAAATGAATCAAACCGACGAAAACCTCGACGTATCTTCAGACGCGACGCAACTTTATATTTTCGTTTGATATGTACGACTATTTTGTCTTACATACAAGTTGACCACGAGTAGATCTCGTATGCAGTGACAAGGATCGCCAGCAATGAGGGTGCGCAAACGAGCCATTGAATCCTACCGCTTCCAAGAACGGCAGTTTGGGATATAGGTGAACCTGTAGCACATGCTTATGACATCATTATTATGGTTCGAAATTTTTCCCGATCAACAGTAATTCTCAAAATCTCCCCAAGAAATAGCCGAGCAGACATAAACGTGAAATCTGACGATGTAGCCGAAGTGATTAGAGCGCGAATTTACTGACCGGAAGGTCCGTGGTTCGAATCCGACCTCTGCCACTCGACTTCCCCTGTCTAGGCTTGGGCAACCTGGCAGTAGCCCAGCCCTCGTACTTCCCTCGGGTGGCATGGCAGTTAGGCACCGGAAGGGTGCTACAGCTGAACGCTAACGATGTAGCATGATAATCGGAGCTTGCGCGGTACATTGCTCTCAGGCTGTAGGGTCTGAGGCTTGTAGAAGCAAGAACATGCAAGTAAAGCAATACCAAGACTTATAAGGCTGCTGAAAACTCTTCAAAAGTCCACGACCGGTTCCGTTCTTCTTCTTCAGGTAGGTGTACCTCCCGAGATTCCATCAACTTTATGTTCTACCTGATCCCAAACTGGACAGATTTCGATAAATGCTCTCATTTGCACAAAAACTTGGTTCGGACAAGCGGCTTGGTTGAATCTAGCTGAATCTCTTGTTTATGATAAAACATATCATCAGTTTGGCCTACCGAGTCACTGCTTAAGATACTTGTGCAGGTGAAGTATTGGGGATATCACTACACTTCACTACTACACCTAAGCAACCTATATTGCTACATGAGGAGTGTATTGTCCATCGATCAGAGACAAAGCTGAATGGCAGAGTAAATGCATAAAAGGTTTTGTCAGTAACATTAGAACCAATAAGAAGAGAAATCACAAATGCGTGCAGGTATTTTGTAGATTTCCCGTTCATAGATTGAGTCCCACAAAAAGTGATGACATCCTTATTCTAGTATGAAGCTGCAGGAGACAGAAAGGAATAGTTGCGTTCTTGAATGCTCCTATTCAGAAGCCATTTGACTCAAAGCAGCAGACTGTGGAAAATATTCATGAGTTACGGACTGCATACAAGCGCAGTTTGATATATCGCGGAAAGCGAAACTGCACGCTGTTTTGTAAACTGGCCAAGCAGTGTCGAGGAAATCGAGCTAATTAATGTGAAAGCAACCAATACCCAGTGAAAAATTGTAGCCGCAAAACTTCCTGGTCGATATTCGAGTTCGGTAAGTTCGCACCTAGAGACTTCTAGCGCAATATTACTGGTCTACCGCCTCTGCCATGTAGACTAAGTGTGAATATTGACCTAAGTGAATCAGTTCCATAGTTAGTGTTCTGATTGTTTCGGCCCGAAAAATAACAGTCGTTCACAGGCCCACGCTGTCAGAGGTGATATTGCAAAAGCCAGACAGCGAACGGTTCGTCTTGCTGCCTTTCTCATAAATGCATTAAGAAACTATGGAGAAGGTATAAACCAATGCTAGGACACTTGTGTTGCAGTTTTCATGTTTTTACATTTTACATCAAAAAGTGGTTAAGCTCTTCTACAATGACAACCATACTTTCAATCTAAATTTAGAGGCTTGGAATGGCAAATAATAGAAGGCTCTTGTTAGATGAGTGCCGCCAAATTTCCCGGTATATAAGACACGATTTCGAACAATCGTGTTAGATGACTGTCTCTTTCTGAAAAGAGACTGAAAGATTTGTACTGCACTATCACTCATTGAACAAAACTATCCAAGGCGTTCGGAACACATATGTTTGTGCCAGTTTTCTTGCTAATGATACTTTTGATGACCTTTCCCTACACGAGCAAACGTGGCTGATGAAAAACGGAACGCGCGGAAACAGG